ACCTTCAGCTCCGAGAGACTTCAGTGGGAGATGCAGGATGCGCAGCAAAACAACCCAAATGCCCTGACAACTAGAGGACGGTTCTGTCTAAGACTTGGGTTCAAACTGGCCATTTGTTATCACAGCACTTGCGCTGTTTGAATTGTTTGCATTGTAAATAGCAGAACAAAGGTTCTTTTGCAGGCTAATCCTTTTGCTCTTAGTATTTTTAACTATGTTTTTGTGACATTTCCTTTGTTCAGTATGACTTTCCAGTGACTCTTCCTAAAGATGGCCAAGTCAAACCCTCAGTCCTGTTCTTCATACGTCTCAACTGAAATAATGTTACCAAGGTAGTGTGAGGACACAGCACAAGGTCCACACTATAGGACAGTCTACAGGCCAATACTGTTAATAATCTGATAAATAATTCTCTAAGGAATTCATAAAATCATCTGGTATGCATTAAAAATTAATCAAAATGAGCTTCAGCATCACTCAGAATATATGTTATCTATAATCTCTATATGGTAAAAACCCATGTCCTGTTGTCTGGGCATTTTCAGCCATTTCACATTAGGGAGGCAAGATTCAAATATACTTAGAATTGAGTGATTAACGTTAGATACTAAAATGTCTAACCTATTACCCAAAACAACACTGGAATAACATTCTGATAGTAATATCTCTCTGATCATAGAGTTTCCTTACGTCATTTCCAGAACTGAGATGCTCAAATACAGAGCAATTTGAAAAGGTATATATTTTGTGTGTATGTCCCCATATAGAAATACATGGAAGCTAACACCACCTATACAGTAGTGACAAGTTAAATCAATTTCCATCTTAAGATCAGGTAAAGTGTACCTCATTTGTTACCATGGATACAAGACATTATTTCCATTTGTTTGAGACCTCATAGTGGGTATGAAATTAGATGGTGACACAAATTCATGGAGGGAGTTAACTCAAAAACACATAACTTCAATGCCTGAGCTGCTATTACACATTTTTCGACAACATAAATTGCTAGATTGCTATGACTGCCCATATGGTATACTTCATGAGCAAATATCCATGGGATTTTGCCGATAATGCTTTTGAGCAACAGAAGTGGTGAGAGAAGAGAAAATAATCACTCATTTCATCAGTCCTGTAAGTGTGCAAAAGAAACCTGAAAAATCAGCAGATAATTGGAGTGCATTAAAAATACATCAGTGTTGCATTATTTGCTACTGTTTGGCACCAAGTCTGTGCACAGAAAATTCCTTGATGCTCAAAATGCATCCATTTTCTCAGCCAGACCTGCTCTTCAACTGCAGCTCAAATCAATTATTCTTTAGTTTTCAAAGTGAGAGGGAGGAGGGGTTGGGGGGGGAGTGGGTGTGAATGGAAAGGAAGAAGGATGAGGAACAGATTTTTTAATGGATAGGTAGGGCTCAGGAACTCGGTGGAAACCAGTTCATCTTGTCTTAAATTAAATATAATATACACAACAAGATAAAAGGGAATGAGAGAGGTCTTCTTGTTAAACCATTACCAGCCAAGACCTGGATGTGCGTTTAATATTTCATATAGAGCCTGATTTTCATAGGTGCTGTACACATGCTATGCTGATGGATTTCAATTGAAGCTGTCAATTTTCAGCATTTCTGAAAACGAAACTCAGACTCTATAGGTTCTACCTAAATGAGAGGCCAATTTCTAAATATTCCTGAATGAATCACAGGAAAAGTGTAAAGGTCGTGGGGTGTCACAAGTGCTACTAACAATCCAAACTCATCTACTCAAACCCATTACAATTGTCTGCAAAAGTGACCCAACTCAGCTCCATTCAGCTGTTGAACCTGCTAACAACTTCCCAACAAAACTCCCAATCTCTGCAATCCTCAGCATATCCTCAAATCGGCTTCCCCACAGCCCCTTTTCCAACTTCTTGAACCTTTTGTAATCCTCCCCCATAGGAAGTTGGTTGGCTTGATCCCAGATGCCAAACTAGCAAAAATTTGAAAACTCACATAAAAATGTCAAAGATTTAATAAACCATGGAGGATGGGAAACTACAGTTGTTGTAACACAGATAGATAGTGGATATAATAAGCGATGGGTTTTCTCTTAACACCCTTGGTTAACAATATTGATATCTGGCTGAAGTTTCAATACTAATTCAATTAAAATTCCAGGGCCTGATTCTCTTTTGCCCTTGCACCTCAGGTGACAATCTAAACCAGTGGCAAGTGAGTGTAAAAACACTATCACTTTGATTTGGTAGCATTTTATACTCACTTGTACTGGTGTGAATGACTACACAAAGTGCAAGGCAATGGAGAACAGGCACTAAGGCTCAGATTTAGCAAAGCATGTGTTCATGTGCTTAACTTTAATGAAGTCAGCGATACTTAAGCATGTGCTTAAGTAAGGAAGAGATTATTCACATGCTTAAAGCATGTGCTTAAGTGCTTTGAGGCCTAAGACACTTTAGCTTCATATTTTATACCTGAATTTGAAGAGCAACTAATGCCTAATTTGTTAATTCTCATATATTATATTAAGAAATTACTCTGGCCATAAATTCTCCCAATATTGTAAAAGAAAGATGAGATCTGGGTGTTCATGTACAGATCTGTACTGAAGCTCACTCCTGGTCAGAAGGCGCAAGTCTGGGACCTCCCAATGACTACTAACTGCAATGTCACAGAGCGGGGATTTATGACTTCCAACAATAATATCAGAAGTGGGAGCTGATTAACTTTTTGGAAACAGAAGATACTTAGAAATAAAGGGCCAGTCTGTGGCTTTAAGCCACTGGCCACAGTAGAGGGTAAGTGGAGGTGTACTACACCAGCAGCAGCTTCTGGAGACATAATGTTTGACTCAGTCACAGTGGGCCAGGTCCTCAGCTAGTGCAAGTCAATCTAGTGCCACTGACTTCAGTGGTGGTATGTCAATTTACATTTGCTGAGGATATGGACAAGTGTCTTTAGAAGTGTCATGGGAGCTTGGGCCACAGCAGCCCTTGCTACAGCCTTTGCAGTAGTACTGTGTGTTCTCTCCCCTGTGTGCACTGCATTGCTCTGAAGCTGTTTAAAGGATGGTGGGGCTATGACCCATACCTGACCTGCTGCCTTTGGGGTACTGGCCATGTTTAGGGCTACCATATGTCCGGATTTCCCCGGACATGTCCGACTTTTCTGTCTATAAATAGCCGTCCGGGGGGGATTTTTAAAAATCTAAAAATGTCTGGGATTTCCCCACGGTCGGCTATTTATAGACAGAAAAGCGGTGGCCAAGCGCCGCTGGGCAGCCAAAGCCCCTTCCCGGCTCCCCCCCATCCCCTGCAGCCTTACCACATTGTCCAGCCCCGCAGCTGTCTTCCCCCTCCTCCACTCCCCTGAACGCTCCGCCCACCTGCTCCTCCCCCTCCCCTGTTTCCCGCGAATCAGATCTTCGCGGGAAGTCTGAAAAGAAGCAGGGGCAGGCGGGAGGCAGCAGCAGGTAAGCTGGGGTGGGGGGCGTGAGGCGGAGAGCTCTGGGGAGGTGTGGCCCGGGCTGAGCGGCGCCCGGAGGCCCCAGCAGCTCCGGCCCTGGTTCTGGCCCCGCCCGGTTCCGGCCGAGCGCGCCAGCCCAGTGCCGGCCAAGCACCTCTGGCCCGGCCGGCTCGGTCCCCAGCAGCGCCGGCCCAGCCCCGGCCGAGCACCCCCAGCCCGGCCCGGCTCGGGCCCCAGCAGCACCAGCCCTGGTTCCGGCCGAGCACGCCGGCCCAGCCCCGGCCAAGCACCTCCGGCCTGGCCCCAAGCCCCGCAACCCTGGCCGGAGCTCTGGCCGGAGTGCAGCCCGATTCCTGGGCTCTTTAAAGCCGGCCCAGGTCAGGGGACAGGGAGGGGGGATTGGATGGGTCGGGAG